TCAGAAAAAGAGTGTAATTCACTTGCCTCAGGTCTGGGGAGAGTTAGTTATAACTTCCATTCACTTTCTTTTTTGAAGAAAACATAGCATATAAGAATTGTACATGGGGAATACATTGTGATATTTGCATATGGTCTCACAACATGTGTTCATTTGGTTCACCCCTTTGCCTTCTCCCTCATCTCCCCTCATCCCTTCTTAGAACAATTCCAACAGATTTATTTGCTCTATTTTCATACATGAATACAAAAAGTTTCTACCATATTTGCCCTCTTTCATCCTCTTCTTTTGACCTCCTCTCTCCCACTTCTACCTACCCCGAGATAGGACTGGTTTTACCTTTCTATCCTTCATGTTTAAAAAATGTATATTGTTTGTTCAAGGGGATTTTGTGTTGGTATTTCAAGCATGTATGTATCATAGTTTAAAAACCAAGTAGAATTTTATGTGCCAACTGGCATGTTGAGAGAGAGACATAGGTTGTAAAGTTTGAGGATCATCAAGAAAAGAATAAAACTTGTCTGTGGGGTTTGGGAAAATGGTAGACAATGATGTTTCCAAAGCCATGGTTTACTGATGGTGACATTTGTATTTAGTATTATTATTTCAGTGGATTTGCTTCTTCACAACTTGGTGAGTCTATTTTGCTTACAGAAAAGTAAAGTCATATAGAATTGAATACATTTATATTTGTAATGGAAATGTGTAATTTTAATTTTCATTAGTACTCCATTACATGATATCAGCTTGCAGCTTTAGTTGAAAGATGTTAAACATATCAAAGATGAGACCTCAATTTCTCATGTAAAAAGAGGCCAAACCTTCCAATTAAATTTATAACTATAACAAAAGCAGGAGACATATAAATAGATTACAAGACAAAAGTAATCTACAATGTTATCCCTTAGAGATCCTTGTTATTTAGGGGAAGAAAGGAAGCAGAATATGGCAAGGAGGGTGTATGAAATAAGTAGGTTCTTGGTTTTATAAGTGTATTAATTTGTGAGAGTGCATTGAACTTGACACAAATGTTTTGTACATGCATTTGTGTATGCATATTATATAGCAATAAATATTTTAATTGTGAAAATACAACTCTAGATTTTCTCCTCCATAATTAGTTATAACTCTGTATGTACAGAAATTAAATATGTTTATATATGTGCACATACATATATTTGTAAAAGTACACATGTATAAATTTTTAATTTATTTTCTTTCCATTTCTGTGGATGGAACTAGAGATCATCACATGAGAAAATGACTCAGACTGAGAAAGTCAAGCACTGTATGTTCTCATATAAAAAAATCTGCTTAAAAGTGAATGACAGAAATATAAAGCTGTTCTTAGTTTAGTCAATGAAAAGTTAAATCAAACAATTTAAATGTAATATTGAATGTAAATATTATTGCCAGAGAGAAAGAAAGAAGCTTGATGACAATCTTGGCATAGAAAGAAATATTTCTTATTTTGTAACTCTACATATTCCTTGGTCAATATTATGGAACTACATGACGTTTTTAGCCTTGCAATCATCAACAGAGTCAATATCAGTGTTGCTCAGTAGGAAACCAAGGATTAGTCAATAGAGTGAAGAAGACAGTGTAAATGTTTCTTGTTATTTTACTTGTGGAAAGTTATATTAAACATGGAGATAAAACAATATATACAATCAGTTTTAATTATCTTTTGACAAATATTTTATCTATAGTTCCTAAAAGTGATCTTAACCTAACAAATACTATCTCTGGTTTCTAAGTCGATGGATATCAATACTTCCAACCTAATTTTGCAGTATACTTTGATATGTTTATGTTGTTGGTGAGTCCCAGAACATCTTTAGGGATATTGTTTGTAGGGTTTTCTTCCTGCATCTCCTTCTTGCATGTGTTTTACATATAATAGTGAGCTACAGCAATTTGTAGGAGATCTTAAACATCTGACCTGCATTTCCCATACCAGAGTTTATTTTTCCACTTTCTTGAGGTTTGTTTTATTTTCTCCATTTTTATAATGGGAATTTGAGTAGAAACTTCACATTTTCCTATGATTTGTTAGACATTTTAGTTTCATTGCTGCTAGTGCATCCTTTCAGTTCTCAAAGACATAATATGTACACACCAATTTACTAAGTCTTAATTTGAGGCCCTACCATTCTTGACATGTTAATTGAGACCTTCAGTAAGTGTTCACTTTTATTGGACTTGTAGTCAAAGATTTTACTCAGGTTCACATGGTATGTTTTCTTTCAATTTCTATTGAATGCATAGAGACTCAGTGAATTTGAGGGATTGGTCAAACTTGCCTTGTAAGTCATCAAGGATCCAGGCTCTTCTTCTTTCTACTGGTGTCTCAAAGCTGTAAAGCAAGAGTTTTCAAGCCCATGAATTACATGATTGAGATATTTTGGCTTTTGATTAAATGTGAGTCTGTAATTCCCATCTAGCAACTCAATTGCCATCTTGCAACTCAGGCACTTAATGTTTTATGATATGATATGAATTTGTGGTTCCTTTGCTGCTTGTATTCGTGCATTTGAGCATCACTGCTGTGCCCACTACTGTTGTTTCCATTATCAAAAACAGAAAGCCAATTCAGTCCTTAACCTTATGTGGCCCTCAACAACTCTCTTGATGTTCATGTACTTAGTGTTTCTGAAGTGGTACAGTGCAAAGCACTGTGGATGAATATGACCTAATTCAGCTACTAAATTTGGAGTAGGGAAACATCTATGGTACAGAATGAATCCTCTAAATCCTCCTGGTTTCTAGGCTTAGTTGTGGTGCTTCTATTTTTCATGCTACCTCTTTTACAGCTTCAAAATTTCATTTATTTTTTCATTCATAATTCTTTACTGTTTTCACTCATTCATAAACATTAAGTTACATTAATTGTAATATATTGCTAAAATGGTGCAAGTATAAATATAATACATATGTGCAAAAAATAAAGGTTGTATTATATACAGGTGATTCAAGGGCAATGAATTGATGCTTATAATATCATGATGTTAATACAATAATTCAGATTAATTCCTTCAGCAAATATATTCCTTACTGCATGGCTGCTTCTTTTCTACTTTATAGCAACCTTTAAAGGGGTCCTCCTTTCTCTTCTCCAGATACTTGAGTTTTGCTAGAGAAGAATACAATAGGTGAATTTATACACCATCATAAACACCATCCTATATGTCCCCTGAGGGCATCTGAAAGATAACTTAACAAACAATAGAAATGCATATATATTCTTTGTCCTAACAAGGACAAAGATTGGGTCTCCAAAACGGTAGAGGACTGAATTCAGCAGTCCTACTTTCAAGTGAGATTCCTAGTAGCACCCTATCTTTACAATAACCCTCTCCTATTTTACTGGCAGTTGGTTTTTGTTCATAATACATATGTTTGTGAATGCTTTTCTTAAATAGTGACAACTACTTACAAAATAAGGGTGAATAAGAAAGTCTTATGATGAAGCAAAGAGGATAGACAGGGGCAATCTCAGTAAATCCACCCAGTGGGTACATATTCACAGTGTTGATGTGGGTTTTTAAGCATTTTCCTAAGTTTGAACTAATAGTTCAAAATGAGCAGATAATTGATTCAGACACTTGAGTGTCAATACTGAAATAAAACTTTCCAACTGAATAGACAGACATTGAAATAAAACATTCGAAGGAAAGTAATTATTTATCTTCAAACATCTTTATTAATTTGTCTTGCACATTCTAAGGAAAATTGAAGTCATTATTTGAGTTTAGATGAAGTAACTGAACAGGTTTATGGAAATGCTGCCCACCCGGTAGGTTCTATCATTTTAGTCCACAGTATTTTAAAATTTTATTGGTTTTCATTTTGATGTTGAAACTTTAAAAAAAAACAGGAAATATAAATATTGCACACTTGGTAGGACGATGTAGTAAGCATCTGTTTTTAATACACTACAGTGCAAACATAAGGTAGTATCACCAAAGTGTCTTAGATATGGACTGTTCACTTGTCAAAGCAATTATAACACATGAATGTTTTCTACGAGCTTTATTTAACTGTTTTCAATCCTGATACCTTCATGATAGTATCATTGGAATGTTCAGGTAAACAAAAATATGTCTAAGATTGGTAAATTGATGAAAAACGTAATAAATGGAATATTAAAAAGATGAGGATTTTGAATCCACAGTTTTCTTTTATGTAGTTCTTTGGCTTAGAAAGGTAATTAACCTAATTGTTCATGAGTTTCAATAGTATAACATTTTCTAATTTATTGTGTTATACAAATTCATAGAAATTTAAAAGGGTAAATCAGGCCAGGCACTGGTGACTCATGCCTATCATGCTACCTACTCAGGAGGCAGAAATCAGGAGGATCGTGTTTCAAAGTCAGTCCTGGTCAAATAGTTCCTGAGACCCTATCTCAACCAGTGTTCAAATTGCAATATTGCAAAAATAAATAAATAGATAAAAAATGAAACAAAAGGGAAATCAGTATTTCACAAAGTCTCAAGTACATGAAAAGTAAGTTCTTTTACATATATGTTGTGATCTTCCCTCATATGTAACAATTGTCCATGATCTGAGTGTCTATATAGTCTGTACATTAGGTCTCTGAAACAACCACCTCAACAAAGAGCCCAAAAAAAGAACAAGACTGTAGTATAAAATCATTTTCATATTTTCCTACCTTTATGACCTACTACCTGGATAATGGGGAACAAGGTCTTGATTTTCTCTAACATGTTCTTCTGCAGTTAGGTTAAGAGATGGTTCAAAAATATGGTCTACATTACACATTATAGGGAGGAATTACTGTCTTAACAAAGACATTGTGCCACCTACCAGATTTCCTGTTTCAGGAGACATCTGATTTAAGTGAGTGAGAAGCTAAGAACAATAAAGCTATTGAATCCACACTTAATATCATGATTCTAGGTAAATCTATTTTTAATAATGTCATAATGATAATTTAAGAGTGGTAACATAAACATTTTTCCCCTTAGTGAAGGATGTTCCAATTTCTCAGAGATTCCAACAGCTCTGAGTGCCAGGTCTCTGAGTTCATTCTGATGGGATTCCCAGGCATTCACAGCTGGCAGCACTGGCTCTCCCTGCCCCTGGCTATGCTCTACCTTTTGTCTCTCATTGCCAACATCCTTATCCTAACCATCATCAACAGAGAGGCAGCACTGCAGCAGCCTATGTACCATTTTCTGGGCATCCTGGCTGTGGTAGACATGGGACTGGCTACCACTATCATGCCTAAGATTTTGGCCATCTTATGGTTCAATGCTAAGGCCATCAGTCTCCCTGAGTGCTTTGCTCAGATGTTTGCCATCCATTGGTTTGTGGCTATGGAGTCAGGTATCTTTGTCTGCATGGCTATAGATCGGTTTGTAGCTATTTGCAAACCACTACAATATCCATCAATAATTACTGAATCTTTTGTGATCAAATCAACTATGTTCATGGCACTCAGAAACAGTTTGTGTCTCCTCTCAGTGCCTGTATTGGCTGCACAGAGATCTTACTGCTCCCAGAACCAAATAGAGCACTGTCTTTGCTCTAACCTTGGAGTCACTAGCTTATCCTGTGATGACAGGAAAGTCAACAGTATCAACCAAATAATTCTGGCTTGGGCAATCATGGGAAGTGATCTGAGTTTGATTATTTTATCATATACTTTCATTCTGAAATCTGTGCTGAAATTAAACTCAATGGAAGCTGCCTCCAAGACCTTAAGTACCTGCACTTCACACCTCATCCTAATCATTTTCTTCTACACTATCATCATTGTCATTTCCATCACTCATATTGTAGGAATGAAAATTCCACTTATCCCAGTCCTTCTCAATGTGCTGCACAATGTTATTCCCCCTGCCCTCAACCCTGTGGTATATGCACTCAAGAATAAGGCTCTCAGACAGGGCTTATACAAGGTGCTTAGGCTGGACACCAAAGGAAGCTAACATGAAAAATATACTCATCTGAATGCCCTCCACGTATTTACATATTACATTTTCCATTTATTGCAAATGGTGTAATGTAAATCATGGGGACATTGTTTCAGCTTTTCTTAGCATAAGTGATCAATATTAATGACTGAAACTTTTGAACAAAAATGGAGGAACTATTATTTGAACCCACTGAATGTCAAAGTAAAATCTTCATCACCATGAATAAGATAATGAAGATATTCATCTTAAGGAATCCAAGGAAAATAAACATTGAATGTACATTTCATTATGTTACCTATGTCTGTGGCTTGAACTTCCAATGGTGAATATATGTGTTTAGAGGAGATATTCACCAACATATACTTTTTTTTCTTATATATACTTTTATATTGGATTGTTTAGACTTTTCATGTTTATGTGATTATTGATAAGCCAGAAGTTTAACTTTTACTATTTATTTAATTAAATCTGATATCTTTGTTTCTAAGCAAAGAATTCAAATACAAATTTCTCTGAGAAAATACGAAAGTTATCAAGATAAAACTGAAAATATTAATTATTAGACAAATTCCGATCAAATGAAAATATCTTGTCATGGCATCTTCTACCTTTTGTATCTTTTTGAAAAATGTAGTCTGGTATTATAGGTATATGAAAACATGAGGGACAAAATGAAGTCCTGCAGCTGTGGAAAAGAAGTTGGCAATTACTCTAAGTTAATTCCAGTTACCATATACTGAGCTACTTCAACCCAATTTTTAGAACAGTACTGTAATATGTATATTCATAATCATATTGTTAGTCAAACAGTAGAAATGCAACATATACCAAGGCTGCTGAATGGACAAACACGATGAAGCCTGTCTGTAAGTGTGATCATTATTCAATAAAAAGTAGCTGTTAGATAATTAGAGAAAACCTTCCATATGGTAATTATTTTCTGCCTATATGTGTATAATAATAAAATGCTATAAAATTGCACAAGCAAAATATACTTTATTTTCAGAACATTATACTTGGTTAAGAAATTAAAGGAATGGTAAAGTTTTAACTATTAAATTCAAATTTTGTACAGTAAAAAAAGGAAAGAACAAGAAAAGAATAAACTTTAAGACACAAGTGAAAAAATGATGAAATATTGTTACACGTTGCTATACGTATGAATGTTGAAACAATAAGCAAAATGCAGAAAGCCAGAAACAAAGACTGCCAGTAGTATACAAGACTTGTTTTATGAAAATAGAATTATTCATTGTGTTTTATTATTATAATTTCCAATGTTAACTTTACTATTTCAAAACTGGACATGTAAGCTTTCCTAACTTAATTTTTGCATGTAATATGCCTGAACGTTTTAGGAATTTTTCTACTGTCCTAACATTCATAAACCACCTCACGTGAAAATAAATTTCATGGAAACCAGTGTCACATTACTTAATACTTTTTTCAAAATCACTAGTGAGACTTTGGGAGTACTAAGCCCTCAATGTGTTATTCAAATACATGCATGAAACCATAAATGAGTAAAGGAATATGAGATTGTGTGTACATGATTAAAATCTTCTTTACAAAACTAATATATGTGAGGTAAACATTACCAAATTATATGTGTTTTATAAATGTCACAATAAAACCATTATATACAATTAGTTTATGCTAATAATTTTTAAAGGCAAAAAAAATCTTTCCATGAATGATTTAGCCTTGTGCCCCTCAAGGCTTTAAGCAGTTAGAAACAACTCTAGATGGATAGATGGAAGAACAGAGACACCCAGCACTTTTGTATGTGAAAGTGAACCTGAAAGAAAGGCCCAGGTGCCTGGCTGGATGAAAAGGCCAGTGGCCCTGAAAAACTAGGGAAGGAAATAGTAAATAGTAGACAAAGAAAAATGAAGTGCACAAATGGTGAATTTTAGATGTATAAAAGAAAAAAAAACCCTAAGATAAGTTTGAACCAGTATAGTGGGGAAGGGTATGAGTTCCCACAACTGGGATTCAGGCAAATAAGGAAAGAAAAGCCTCCTCAGGTGATCCCACAGGTGCACAACCTGGGTATAAACATCTAGCACTCTATAAAAAAAGTAAAACACAAGCAGTAGATCTTCATCTTGTGCTGCAAGCAGATGGTGGAGAAAAGGCCTTTGTCATGTCCCAACTCACTCACTGAGAGTCATCTCATGAGAGGTCTTTAGGACAAACCCCTCAGCTCAGGGAGAAGAGAAGACTCTGCTGTTTTTTTATCTCCACCCCACCCCCAATCCTCCTTCAACATTTCTTGAAGAGGCTGTCTTTTTTTCCATTATATTGTTTGCACATCTTTGTCAAAAACCAAGTGACCATAGCAGTATGGATTCATAGTTTTTGTTCTGTTCCATTGGTCCTCATGTCTGTTTTTGTTTCAGTTCCATACTGTTTTCATTGCTATGGCTCTGTAGTATAGTTTGAAGTAAGCTGTTTGATATATCATTGCTCTTTTTTGCTCAGTATTGCCTTAGCTATTTGTGGTCTTTTGTGCCTCCTTAAGAACTTTAGGGTTGATTTTTAATCTCTAAGATGAATGTCATTGGAATTTTTATGGGGATTACATTGAACATGTAGATTGCTTTTGGTAATATAGCCATTTTCAGAATATGCATTCCGTGAGCCTGGGAGATCTTTCCATCTTCTGTAGTCTTCTTCAATTTCTTCATTTGGTGGTTTATTATTTTCATTGTTGAGGGTCTTGCACTTCCTTTTCTAGGTTTATACCCAGGTATTTTATTTTATTTTGAGGCTATTGTAAATGAAATTGTTTTCCTATATTCTTTCTCAATATGTTCATTTTTGGTGTAAAGAAAGGTGCTGATTTTTGTAAATTGATTTTGCATCTTACTTCCTTGCTAAAAGTGTTTATGACGTCCAGGAGTTTTCTAATGGAGTTTTCTGAGTCTTTTAGGTATAAGATCATGTCATCTGTAACAAGGATAGTTTGACTTCTTCCTATCCTAATCAAAGTCCATTTATTTCTTCTTTTTGTCTCACAGTCCAAGACTGTGTTAAATAATAGTGAAGAAAGTGGACAACCTTGTCTGCTACCTGACTTTAGAGTAAATAGTTTCAGCATTTCCCCATCAAGTATGATGTTGGCTATAGGCTTGTCATTTACATCCTTCATTGGGTTGAGGTACACTCTTTCTATTACTAATCTTATCAGAGCTTTCATGAAAAAAATGTTGATTTTTGTTGGAGGCTTTTTCTGCATCTATTGAGATGATCATGTGGTTTTGTCTTTGCCTCTGTTAACGTGCTATATTACATTTAATGAATTGTGTATATTGAACCATCACCGCATCTTTGGGATGAAACCCACTTAATTGTTGTGCATGATTTTTTTTATTGTTGAATTTGGTTTGCCAATATTATATTGTGAATTTTTGCATCTAAGTTCATTAAGGAGATTGACAGATAGTTTCTTTTTTGTTGTGTACTTGTTAAGTTTTGGGATGAGGGTAATATTGGCTTCATAGAATGATTTAGGCAGTGTTCCTTCCCTTTGCATTTCATGGAAAAGTTTGAGGAGTGGTGATATTAGTTTTTCTAAAAGGTGTAGCAGAATTCAGCAGTGAATCCATCAGGTGCTGAACTTCTCTTTTTTGGGAGACTATTGATGCTTCAATTTCATAGCTTGTTATACAACTGTTTAGGTCATTTATAACCTCTTGGTTCAATTTTTTTGGTTAGCAGTAACTAGAAATTTATCCATCTCCTAGATTTTTCAATTTATTTGAATATAGCTTTGCAAAATAATCTCTAAAGATTAGTGTTTGTTGTGATCTCACCGCTTTTGTTTCTAATTGTGTTAATTTGAGTCTTTTCCTCTCTCATTTTGGTCAAATTTGAAAGGGTTTATCAATCTTATTTATGTTTTCAAAGATTCAACTTTTTGTTTCATTAATTCTATGGTTTTTTTTTTTTTGGTCTCAAGTTTGTTGTTTTTTTCACTTACTTTTATTATTTCTCTCCTAGTTTTGGATTTAGCTTGTTCTTCTTTTTCTAAGAGTTTGATAGCAACTCCTAGTTTTCTTAGTTTTTTATCTATGCATTTATGGCTATAAAGTCTGTCCCTAGCACTACCTTCACTGTGTCTCATAATTTCCTTCCTTATTTCTTTGCTGATCCATTGGTCATGGAGCAATTTATTGTTCAGTCTCCAAGTGTTTCAGTATTTTCTGCTGTGTCTTTTGTTGTTGAGTTCTAGCTTTATTCCATGTAGTCAGACAGAATGCAAGGGGTAAGGTCAATATTCTTATATTTATTAAAACTTGATTTGTGACCTAAAATATGATCTATTTGGAGCAAGTTCCATGGGCTGCTGAGAAGAATATAATAATTTACATTCTGTTGCAGGATGGGATACTCTGTAGAAGTCTGTCAGTCCCACTTGACCTACAGTGGCATTCAATTCATGGGCTTCATTTTTGAGTTTTTGTCTGGATACCCTATCTTTTTAGAATAGTGGAGTACTAAGTCTCCTACTTTCACTATGTTGAAGTCTATCTGTGTTTTTAAGTCTAGTATGTTTAGTGAAGTTGGATGCACTAACATGGCAACATATAAATTGACAATTGTTATTTCACTTGATGCATTATTCCTTTTATTAGTATGAAGTGATCTTCTTTGTCTCCTCTGACTTACTTAGGTTTGAAGTCTACAATAGGTTGGTAAATCTTTTTCCACCCTTTCATCTTAAGTAATTGTTTCTATTTATAAGGTGAGTTTCATGTAAGTAAAAAATTGTTGCATCATTCTCTTTGATAATGCTTACCAATTGGTGTCTTTTGATGGGGGATGTGAGGTCATTTACATTAAGTGTTAATATAGAGGTATGTGGTGATTCCTTTTATTTAGTTGTTTTGTTGTATAGGGATTTGTGTGAGTGCAATTAATAACATGCTACCCTCTAATTATGTTTCTACCCTTCTCTTGAGGTTTAGCAATTTCCATACTTTCATGGCTATGCTCATTTTCATCTT